AGATGGTGGTGATGAAGATGGTGGTGGTGATGATGGTGGTGATGAAGATGGTGGTGGTGATGATGGTGGTGATGAAGATGGTGATGGTGATGATGGTGGTGATGAAGATGGTGGTGGTGGTGATGAAGGTGGTGGTGATGATGGTGGTGATGAAGATGGTGGTGGTGATGATGGTGGTGGTGATGATGGTGGTGATGATAGTGGTGGTGATGATGCTGGAAATGAAGATGGTGGTGATGGTGGTGATGAAGGTGGTGGTGATGATGGTGGTGATGAAGATGGTGGTGATGATAGTGGTGGTGATGATGGTGGTGATGATGGTGGTGATGATAGTGGTGATGAAGATGGTGGTGATGATGGTGGTGATGCAGATGGTAGTGATGATGGTGGTGATGAAGATGGTGGTGATGGTGGTGATGAGGATGATGGTGGTGATGATGGTGGCGGTGATGAAGATGGTGATAAAGGTGGTGGTGATGAAGATGATAGTGATGAAGGTGGTGGTGATGAAGATGATGGTGAAGATAGTGGTAATGTGGGTAATGGTGAAAATGATGATGGTGGTGATGGTGATGGTGGTAATGATGATAAAGTTGACATGTAAGCACCTACTATGTGCTGGCACTGTCCTAAACACTTCATGTATATTAACTCATTTAGTCCTCATAACAATAGCAGAATTTTATTCCCTTTTTATAAATGAAAACTCAAAAGCTAAAAGCTTAAGTAACTTGACCAAATGTACATGCTAGTCAGCAACAGATGTAAGACTCGAACCCACACAGTCTTGACCAGAGCTCAGCCAACTCTTTCTATAAAAGGCTGTGGAGTAAACACAGTCTCTGCCATAGACATCACCGTGCAAAAGTGGCATAGACATCAGGCTGTGCTCCCACTAACTTTATTTATAAACCAAGCAGTGGGCTGGTCTTGGTCCACAGGCCCATCTTTGCCAACCCATGGTCTTAACTGTTCCAGGAAAAAAAAGGAGGGTTCACAAGCATCAATACTTTCTGGGAAATGAAATCATCATAATAAAAACAACGGAGATAAAAATAGTCATCAGCTCCTTGGCTTCTTAAACGTGGATGGGGACAACTGAGCATCTATTCACTAAGACATCCTGTGCACCTGGCACCACCGAGAGCGGGCAGTAGATACCACGCAGGGCACATTGGGTGGATTACACAGTCTGCTAAGTGATGAGCCCCACGGAAAGAAGTGAGGCACAGTGGGGGGCGTGGGAGCAGGGGAGGGACGCACAAAGGGGAGAACATGGCCTCGCTGAGAGGGGTGTCGCAGCAGAGGCCTCAGGAGGTGGGGACAACGCCAGCTTCCGGGTGGGGAGCGGAGCCCGTGGGAAGGTCCCTGAGAAGGGCCACGCTGGCTTGTAGAGGAAGAGCGAGGGGCCCCAGGAGGACCATGTCATCTTGTTCAAGAAGAGCAAGAGGTCTACCTGGCTCCTGGTCCCCTTAGTGGGGAAGGAGGAGGCTGAGAGTCCATGGGAGTCCAGTGGCATGGGCCTTTGGAGACTGGCCTTTTACTCACAGAGGTGTGGGGACAGAGGAGTGACAGGACTGACTCAGGTAGCAAAAGGGTCACCCTGAGTGCCGTGGGGCCAATAGTTCTGAACTAGGTTTCCTGGACTTGGGTCTGACTCTAATCCTAATTAGTGGTCAACCATCAGGCGATGTAGTTAGTCTTTCTATGCCTGATTCCCCTTCCGAATAACAGAAATGATAGTGGTTAGCAGATCAGTAGTTAGATAAGTGTATAATGAAAAAATTCAGGAGGCCCCTAAACGTGATTCCAGGGACAAGGTGAGCACTGAAGGATATGGTCATTTTAATCATTATTAAATCGGGCTCCCTAACGAGAGCTTCCCGCCTGGGATGGTGAGCCGTGTGAGCCTACAAACTCCCAGGGAGAATACACTGACCGACTGTCCTCCCCTCCACCTCCGCCAGGGGCACTGACATCTCACACATGTGGTGATGAGTCGCCCCGGGACACGGTCCCCATGAGGAAGCGAGGAGTTTGCTGGGAAGGGAGGGTCCCCACTGACCATGAAGCTCGGGGGCAGGTGCTGCAGGAAGCTGTCAGTGCTTAACACGACTCCAACCCCAGCAGCTGAAAATGAGAAACGCCTATGGTTTCCCATGGCCTGGGAGTGGGAGGACCAGCCAGGCGGGGTCCTCCCATGTGCAGGTGGGGGGTCAGCAGGGGCTGCAGCATGCTAGGCCTGTGTGGGTGGAGGATCTGCGCCTCAGAAGGCTCCCTCCCAGGGTGCTGTCACAAGGCCTTGTTCCTCCCCACACAGGTCCCTCAGGGCTGCTTGAGGTCCATCCCATGGCCACTGGCTTCCACTGGGTGAGCCATGAGCAAGGTGACCTAGCTCAAATGCGATACACTGTCCCTTCCCACCAGGTAACACATTCATCAGGAGCAAGTGACCAAGGGCAGGCCACACTGAAGGGAAGGCGTGAAGTGCTGCTGCCTGTTATAGGATTAGTACCCTATAACAAGCTTCAAAAATCCCGCACGGAAGCTGTGAGGTCAGGGCAAAGTAGCACCACCCTTGAAAATAAGACAAAATGATCACAGTGTGGGCTTTCACGTTGTCAAAAGAGACAAAGTTTAAATTCTCTTAATTCAAAAATTGACTCTCATACACATATGCAGTGAGTAGGAGTCAACGGTTTACTATTAATATGTGAGGGAATCACAATGATAAAACTGATTATCTAAGGATGGCTCAAGGAACAAAGGTCTTTAGTATTCATTGGCAAAGAAATGCTGGAATAGGCTGGCTAAGTTACAATTTTTAAAAATTACTGCCTTTGAATTTCTTTTTTTTAACCAGACAAAAATAAGTTGGAATTTATCAATCTTCTCCTAGTTCACATCTAACTTTAGAGAATCTGTGTCTCAGTTTGATTTCTGTTGCTGAAACAAAATACCTGAGACTGGGTAATTTGTGAGAGAAAGAGGTTTTGTTTATTTGTTTGTTTTGTTTTTGGCTCACAGTTCTGAAGACTGGGAGGTTCAAGATTGGCAGCTGCATCTGGTGAGATCTTTGTTCCTGGTGAGAACTCTGTAGAGTCCCAAGGCAGCATAGGGCATTTTATAGTAAAAAATAGCACTATTATGGTTTGGATGTGACCCCCAAAATGCAAGAAGGCTTAGAGGTGAAATCACTGGGTTATGAGAGCCTTAATCCAATCAGTGGTGGGGCGTTCAGACCCTAGGGATGCACTGGGAGCCAACCAATACCAATTTGTGAGACAACCAAGGACACATTTCTGAGGGAACTAACTGTTTGGGGGGTCTGTTTGACAATGTGAAAGCCCACACTGTGGTCATTTTGTCTTATTTTCAAGCTTAGGGATATAGATAGATAGATAGATAGATAGAGATATAGATATATCTCCAAGTGCCACATCCCCAGCCCTTTTTATTTTTTTTATTTTGAGATATGGTCTCATGAAGTTGCTGAGGCTGGCCTTGAACTTGCAATCCTCCTGCTGCCTCAGCCTCCGAGCTACTGGGCTCACAAGCGTGCACCACACGTGAGCTCATTGGTGCGTTGTCCATTCATTCCTCCTATCTGGATTCTCATTTCAGCACGTTCTGTAATAGACAGAGCTGGTAGAGGCACCCCCGGTGACCCAGCCAGCTCGCTGCGTCCCTGCAGGGCCAGCCACATGCATGCTCCCTTCTGAATGGGCAGAACTTGAAGGAGCTCTATTAGCCAGCCAGGTGTCCGCTGATTCACTGTTGAGAGTGGCACCCTGGCATTTAGGGGAAACTGTGTCCACCTCTACGATCACTTTGCAGACAAGAGCCTATTTTTTGAAAACCACTTTGTCAATAGCTTAACTCTGGAATTTGTTCTTGTAATTGGCAATAATTTCTGAGTCGTTTCTATCTGGCCAATTTATAGTGCATTTAATGATTTTGCATAAGCAGCATCTACGTTAAATTTATTTTTCTGAATGCTATTTATCACATTGGTAGTCTTATGTGAATAAGGGGTTATTTTCTGTCTTTCAATCAACCCGATATTTATTTTTAAACCCTTTAAGGATTTTTTTTTTGTCCCACATGTTTGAATACGGTTTCTTTAAAATTCATGCTTTTACAATCAATAGTTACTGATGGTGGTCAAGATGTTGTTAAATTGTTCTGCACTGACGGGCGTTAATTCAGAGCCATCACGGAGAGTCTTAAAAGCATATTAATGGATTCACAATCATGATTTTTTTTTTGTCAATGAGATATTTAAGAAAGATCAACTGTGGAATCATAGATGTTTGTCACAACGTAGCGCTCAATAGCAAAAATGAACCAATACAACCCAACAAATTAAGGACCAATATTAATGGGCTGGAATAAATGAATGATAAAAGACCCTTAGGAATTTTTGCACAGCTGTTCAAACCTAGGAAGTCATTATTCATGTTAGTGTGGGAAACGAGTCTGCTGTGGTGCCCCAGAGAGCTGCAGGTTGAGAGTGGCCTCTGATGCTGCAGCAGGACAGCTGTCTGCAGTGACAGCTGTCTGCAGTGACGTGGGGGAGGAAGAGTGTCCTCACGGGATTTTTGATGGTGCATTCACGGAAGCATTCACGTTCTTCTCCTGGTTTGCTCTTCTGGATTTTCAGGTTTTTCTGCAGTGAACCTGTAGCCTACTACATGCTCCCCCAGTAGGAATTCCCCATGGCCGGTGTCTCCATGGGCCTGGCAAAGGAAGGCGGGGAGGGGAGGGAGGGACAAGCACGGCAGAAGCTGCTTTTCTGTGTGCTCCTCAGAGCCCCAAGAGCCCGGCTCAGAGCTGTGGGGAGGCTGTCTCCAGAAACTCCCTTTCCCAGGCTGGGCGAGCAGCAGGTGCTTCAGGAGGCTCCAGGGTGTCACATCACCCTGCTCCTCCCTGGCTTGCAGTTTCAGTCTCCTCCCAGCGACCCGGGAGGAGTGCATAAATAATCAAGTATGCACTTAAAAAGCCGGAGCATCCTCGAGGAGCCGAAGACTCCGCAGGCTCCCGCCAAGGGAAAGGAGCCACCGAGGTGTCCTCTGGGTGCTGGCAGGACAGGCTCTCCTGACCCCAGCTCCAGAAGCCCTGGCCCAGCGGATGTGGTTACCCGCTGGGAGGCTCAAGAGCTTGCTTGCTCCCCGGGCCCCTGACAGCCCTCAGCCTTTGTCTGCACCTAATTTTTTTTTTTTGCTGTTTGTTTCAAAATAGGGGAATCTGCACATCGAGGAATTCAAGATGGTCCTGAGCGGGGCGCTGTGCTTCCGGTGAGTGTGTGGGCCTCCGAGAGGAGTGCGATCTGGGTGGACCTGTCCAGCCTTGTGAGGGCGGGAAGGGCCTGCTGCCCCAGCCGGGGCTCCCAGCGGAGGACAGGCGGCTGAGAGTCAGGGCCAACAGTCGCTGCCCCTGCCCTTCTTCCAGCCTTTCAGACTGGGACAGGACCTGGCAGCCCACCTCAGGGGACAAGTAACCACGGGGCCAGGGCTGCAGCCTGGTCCATGTACGGGGAAGATGGGAGCCAGGAGCCCCCCTCCGAGCTCTGCTCTGCTCCCCACGCCATGAGTTAATGTCACTCCAGCCACCACCTCCCTGCAGCCCTGGGGGTGGGGGGAATAGAACCAAAACAATCTCCAGAGGTCTGCCCACCCACAAGTGTGTACTGACCCAGAAACTCAGCTGTGTGTGAACTTCACAGTGAAGGGGGAGAGCAGCCCTCTCTGACGTGAGTCTCGTCTGACTGGCCCTCCATATCCTTGGTTTCCACAACCACAGAATCAATCAACTGTGGAGTTAAAAAAATATATATATATATGTATGTATAAATCGCATCTGCGGTGAACATGTGCAGATGATCTTCTTGTCATTATTCTCTAAACAATGCAGTATGACAGTGTTTGCATACATTTGCATGATGGTAGGTATTGTAAGTCATCTAGAGATGATTCATGGTATGGCAGAAGATGTGTGATGCTTCTATGCAAACACTACGCCAGTCTGTGTTGGGGCCTTGAGCCTTGTGGATTTCGGCGTCTGTGGGACCAGCAGCCTGGGCACTTGGGGGACGACTGGCTAGCGCGTTTCAAGGTGTGTTCTATGGGCCTCAGTCCCATGGGGTTCTTTGTACATTCGAGCTCTCTGATCAAGTACATGCGGCAAGTGGTGCCTTCCCTGTCCTGGTAAGAGCTCTCGGTGCCACTCAGCATGCCAGTGACTTTGGATCTTACTAAGTAATGGAGCTTGTTTAATCATGTTAGGTCAAACATGCAGCCAATGTTTACACTGCAGACTTTTCCCCAGTTAATATCTGCAGAAACCTGCTTCAGAGTACATCTTTCACCTCACAGTATATCAGAAAACCAATCAACTCATATACAAGCAATAACTAAGAGAAGTAAAATAAATCAATTTTAAATTTGGAGAAAATCCTCACTCAGGAATACATGGCCAAGTGGAAGTAAATGTCCACTGAAGTCTTCAATAATGCCCGAAGATACAGATTTTAATCAGGAAGAGACCTGGGTGCTATCTAACCCATCTTTAGCAATGAGGAGACTCAGGCCCAGAGAGAGTAGGTGATGTGTCCCTGTGGCTCAGCAGCATGGACGGCAGCTGCAGTCACTTCTCTCTGAGAGACCATGTGGGGACTGTGGATAGGAAAGATTGGGTAGGGTGAGACTCAGGTGGGGGCCTGGGGTCATCCTCCTGGTAAGGTAGGAGCCCAGCAGGCCTGGGGGAAGGCTGGGCTGTGGTACCCAGCATTGTTGGAAGAGAGGGCAGCAAGATGCTCAGACTGGGGGACTCTGGGCCAGGGCAAGCTGCAGGAGACCCGCTCCTCACGGCCTCCTCCTTCCCCACGTTTCAGAATGAAGGACTCAGCCCTGAAAGTGCTCTATCTGCACAACAACCAGCTTCTGGCCGGAGGGCTACACGAGGGGAAGGTCATTAAAGGTTGGTGTAGAGCAGGACCTGAGTGGTCCCCGTCCGTGTCCCTCTGCGGGAGGCACCCGAGGAGGCTTCCCAGCAGGCCTGCAGACCTCAGCAGCAGGGAACACTGTGTGGCCTCGTGCTTACCCACATGCTGTGGCGGATCTTCTCTGACAGTGCACACCTGTCCACCTGGGCACTCGTAAGGGTCACTGGAGCCAGTGGGCCCCTCTGCTGTAGTGTGCACATGTGTGCTGCTGTGTGTGTGAGCATTGTGTGTGTGTGCATGGGGTGGGGGGTGCAGGGGGAGCTAGTCCTCTTCTGGGAGGCTCATAAAGACAGGGCTCAGAACGGAGGCCTGGGCATCAAAGGAGGTACTAGGGAGGGTCTCTTGGTGTTGGAGACAGCTCTAAATGTGGGGGCTGCAGTGTCAGGTGGCACCAGGTGCTTCTGTGCCTTGATGTCCACTCTGGGACAGTGGCAGGAGGGTGGCCTTCTCCCTGTGACAACTGCTGAAAGATTCCCCTTCTGCCCAGCGTGAGGACAGGAGGCCTCATGCTGGCCCTGCTCCCAGAGTCCAAGATCAGGGAGAGGGAAACAAAGGCCCCCAAAGGCCCGTACCTTGACTCTTGCCCACAGGTGAGGAGATCAGTGTTGTCCCCAATCGGTCACTGGATGCCAGTCTGTCTCCAGTCATCCTGGGTGTCCAGGGAGGGAGTCAGTGCCTGTCGTGTGGGACAGAGAAGGAACCAACACTGAAACTGGAGGTGAGCCCTGTCCCGCGTCCTCACCATCTGGAGACTAAGCTGGCCAGTTCTGAGGCTGGGCACTGCCTCTGGGCACCTTAGGGACCCTGAAAGTTGCTGCTGGTTGTGGCTCTGCTTGCTCCCCAAGGGCTCTGCCTAGCCTGGGCCTCCCACTGTCCGCCCCTGCCCCTCACTGCTGCCCCCACCCCTGCCCCTTACCGCTACCCCTCACCCCTGCCCCTCTGTTGGCAGCCCGTGAACATCATGGAGCTCTACCGCAGCGCCAAGGAGTCCAAGAGCTTCACCTTCTACCGGAGGGACATGGGACTCACCTCCAGCTTTGAGTCAGCCGCCTACCCAGGCTGGTTCCTCTGCACAGCGCCCGAGGCTGACCAGCCTGTGAGGCTCACCCAGATCCCCGAGGACGCTGCTTGGGACACCCCCTGGGACGCCCCCATTACGGACTTCTACTTCCAGCCCTGTGATTAGGGCCACGCGCCCCCACAACTCCCGGGGCAGTGCCAGCTCCAGCGGGGGCAGGGGTGAGGGGGACCATCCCTGCTCTCAGAACTCAGGACACCCAGCCGAGCTCCCTTCTTCTGGTCCCAGTTTGTGTAAAGTCTTCTCAGTTTGGGGATCAGTACCCACATTCATTGCCCATGGGGTGGTCCTACTGTGGAACCTTAAAACACCTCGTGGGATAAACCGGGAGCAGCATAAAATTACTGAGTGGGATTCCTTCATGCTTAAAGGTGCCTGACTCAGCGCCCAGGTGCCCACTGAGGTCCTGTCACCCCCCGGGCTGCAGGAGAGGGAGGTGGCCACAGGTAGATGGACCACGATCCCCTGCCGGTCCAGCCCCTCCCCATTCCTGCCATGGTCTGCCTCTTCCGTCTCTGCCCTCTTCCTCTGGCCCTGGGCATGGGAGGGCCTGGGAGGGTGTCACTGGGGAAGCAGCTTCACCTCAGAAGACAGGAGATGGGCATGCCATCTCTTTTAGAAACCCAAGATACAAAGAAAACCTCCAGTGCTGTTCTCTCCTCCCATGGAAAGATGTTTACAGCATGTTGTGAAGAGCATATTACAAAGTCAGAGCTCTTGCAATTTCTTTTGAGTTTAAAAGAAATACCTAAGTATATATTTCTGAATCAAACCTCCCTGGAAGGTACGTCAGTAGCAGCAGGTTCTGGGTGGTGGCGCTATAGGTGACTTTTCTGTCTATTTTTATTTTTAATCTGTTTCCTAATTTTTCTATCATGAGGATGGGTTCCAATTGTCATTATAAAAAAGAAGCTAAGAGGGAGATTGAGGAACTGGAAAAGACACCATTTCTGACTGTCCTCAGCCTCAAGCTGAGTTGAGCCCGCTGCTCTGGGGGGCAGACGCAGGGGCAGAAACCTCCCCAGCAAAGCACCAAGAAGAGGATGCGATGGGCTTGTGTGGCTGGAGTCTCCAGAGTAAGGGAGTCACAGGAAATACCCCAGACAAAAGACAAACAGAACAAATGAAAAAACAACAACAATAACAAAAACCCTATATAATAAAAACTTTTTAAAAAATCAAAGTCAGCCTCAGCAACTTAGTGAGGCCCTCTGCAAACCAGTGAAACCCTGTCTCTAAAGAACATAGTAAAAAAGGGCTGGAGATGTGGCTCAGTAGTTAAGTGCCCCTGAGTTCAATCCCTGGTACCATCATCATCATCGTCATCATCATCATATCATCATCACAACAACAACAATAATGATAATAATAATTTTAAAAATCCTGTGCTTTGAGCTGGAACGGCCCACAGTCCCTGGAAGCCCAAGACCTGGGATCAGCTCCCAAGAGGGCTGCTGTACCAAATGAATAGTGTCCTTCCTGAGTTCATGTCCTTCCTGGACCTCAGCCTGTGGCCTTCCTTGAGGATGGGGTCTTTACGGATGGTTGCCACAGGGTCAGGCTGCATTAGGGTGGGCTAAATTCTCCTGTGACTAGTGTCCTTGTAAGAAGAGGACCCAGAGACTCAGAGGAAGCACCGGAAGGTTGGACTGAGGCTGCCACTCGCCAAGGCAGGACATCAGGACAGTGGCAACCTCCTGGATTGTGAGAGAATAAATCTTTGTTGTTTGACGCGTGAAGTGTGTGGTGGCTGGCTGCATAGCCGCCGTGACCCCAACTCCTGGAATTCACACCCTGTATGCACGCCTCCCACACTGCGCCAGAGGTGTCCTGGGCCAGTGGGATGTGGCTAAAGTGACTGACGGCTTGCCCCCTGTGAGAGTAAGTTATAGGAGACACTGGGCCTTCTATCTTGAGATGCCTTTTCTCTCTCTCTCTCGCTATCCATCTCTCCTCCTCTTCTCCGCTGGCTCTGTAGCTTCCTACGTACACCCATGTGAAAAACCAGAGTCTCCAAACCACAGCCACAGGCATGGAACCAGTCCTGCAGCCTGTCTGGCCTTCAGTGATGAGAGCCGCCCAGCTGACAGCTGGCTTGCAGCCTCCTGACACAGAGCAGAGCCGTCCAGAGTCCTGCACCAGAAACTGTGTGAGCTCATTGCTCGGTTCCGGAGTGACTTGTTCTGAAGCGTAGATGATGAAGACCCAAGGAAGGGAGACTCACTGCATTCATTTGATTATGATTGCAATTTTTCCAATTTATTTCCTTCTCAAAATGAACTCCGATACTTTATTGATCCAAATAGTCTATTTAAATGCCTATCATGCAAAATTTGTTAAATGTTCTCTGTTTCAGGAAGGATTAGATCATTCTTGACAGCTGCACACATCTAGTTCTACAAGCCAGGGTCTGTTCTAGTGTCCCTACCAGCATCCTGAGGACTGAACCCAAAAGCCACAGCAGGGTCCCATATCTGAGCCTCAGCTATTCCACATGCAGCTCACCTGTTGGACCAGACTGGCAGGTTCAAAGCCTTCAGAGGGAGGGACAAGAACAGGGTCAGGACAGGAGGGATGACCTCCATGGGCCTCAGCAACTCCAGCTCAGGCACTGCTGAGGTCCCCATGGGCTCCAGGTACCAGGCTGTGTTTCTGTACACCGGTTCCTGTTCCCGCTCTCTGTGGGTCCAGACACAGTCTTAGGTTGCCCTTCTGCTCTGGGGCTCTTCACCCCACTCCCTGTCTAGAAAAACTGCCCATCTTTCATACCCTGCTAAGATGTCACATCCTCCAGGAAGCCTTTGATGAGCTGAGAGTCCTGGTCATTTGTTCTGGCAATGCTTCATGTTCACCTCCTTGCAGTGAGTTGGCTTGGAGTCTGTGGCCCCAGGATGACCTCGAGGTTAGGGCTGCATCAGTTTGCTTCCGGACATAAGCACGGTGCTTGGCAAACACTGGAATCTAGTGAGCATGGAATGTGGCCACTCTCTCTCCACCCTGGAACATTCTCTCCCTCTCTTCCACCCAACTAAGCCTCTAAGGGTGGAGCTTAAATTCCACTTCATTCTTGAAGGTTTCTCCAGCCTGAAGTGATTTGCTTCACCATTTATGGGATGACAGGATTCACAAGGGCTTCTGCCTGGATGTGCAGGCATTTATAAGTCAGTAGGAAAAGGAGGACATTAAACACTACCTTGGGGTATGTGTGGCCGTGGGTGCTGGCACCATGGTGGTTCCAGTGAAAAAGACCTGGTGGTTTCAGATTTCTGCAATTGTTGATTAAACTGTAGGCCTGGACCCATGTCACAGAGACACAATCTCCACACCATGTGGGGGGTCATGACAGCTCCAGAAATGGAAGAGCAGAGGAGGTCCCAAGGGCAGGTCACAAGGGAAGAGGTGAAGCTGCTGAGGGTCTTCACGCTGAAGAAGTAGCACACAGAGAGCCCCGCAGACACTCAAAGTTCTGCCGAGTAGAAGAGTATCCTTGTTTGTGTCATTCCAGAAAGCACAAATTGGATAGACGGGTGGAAATGATGTGGAGACGGTTTTTCCTGAATGATTCCAGATTTTTAACCACTAACTCCACAAACATTGTTAGTGCTTCTTCCAGAGGTTGTGCAGTCCCTGGCCTTAGAGATGCGGAGGAAAAGTCTCATCAACCTATATCTCCAGAGCTCCATAATACTGACCTCTCCATCTGGAGGGACACCAGGACATCATGTCCAAGGTCATTTTAATTCCCCAAGATTTTTTTTTTTTAAACAAGGAGTTTCTCTGCAACTGTGGCTTCCAACATGCCCTTGGTCCACAGTTTAGAGATTCTGGTCATTTAAATTATCTTTCAAGTGTTTGTGACTTTGCTCCCAGCTGAACTGTGAAGCTACTTAACAGCAGGAACTGAGCACTGTTCATGTCTTTGTCATAGAGCAGATAAAAGCTTAGTAAACATGCACTTACTGCCTGATGTGACACCCACGCTTTACTCCTTCCCACAGAGAGGAGGGAGAGTGGGAGGAGTGGAGAGTGAGCGCTGGCTGTAGAAGCAATGTTCTGGCCTCCCTCCTGCCCATCTTCTCTCCCTTCTCGTCCTGCAACCATCTGGGTCTTGGATGGACCCCTCCCTTCTCCCCATCAAGCCCTCTATGGAAATTTACAAATGATATGAGAACGAGAGAGAGAGAGAGAGAGAGAGAGAGAGAGAGAGAGAGAGAGAGAGAATGAATTAGAGAAAGGCTGCTAGTCTCCAGTGGGCATGACACCAATCTCTTTGCCCCTTGTCATAGATGGATGGGTGGATGGGAAAGTGGATCTATGGATGGATGGATGGATGAATGGATGGATGGATGGATAGAGAAATATGTGGATAGGTGGGTGGGTGAATGATGGGATGAATAGATGATTAGATGGGTGAATTGATGAATGGATGGGTGGAGAGCCTGGGTTAGGTAATGTCAGTTAGGGAACTGGGTATTCAGTGCTGACCTCTCGTTCTGACATCGTTCCTGCTAGTGTGGGGCACATAGCACCTCGCCAGTCCCAGGGTGAATATGATAAGGTCAACAGCTTCCACAGTTGGGTTTCCTTAGAGGATCTGTTTCATCAAGGTGATGCCAACTAATTAAACCTATTGAAAAGCAGAGACACCCCCCACCTTTCCAAATAGGGCCACACACTCATGATGCTCTCAGCCCCTGATCTCACTTTCAGTAATCTTCAGACCTACCCGACGTCCCAAGTAACCACGTCCCAAGCCTTGATGGAGCCCCGTGGGTCACCGTTGATGTCTGACCCTACACTATGTCCCTGGCTGCCAAACCAATAATAACATGGCCAATGACAGTAGCCACAGAGTGGGGCTCAGTGCCTGGCCTCTGTCAGGGCTTTATGGGTGACTCTCGCCCCCTTCGATAAATACTCATTAATCTCCCCACCTTCTCATTATCCATACTGTGTCAAAGACATTGTGAAATCTCTGGGCTCTTCTTCCTCCCTGTCCTGGAATCAATGGCAGCGACTGCCGCAGGCTCGACCCACCCTCACCCACATATAAAGGCGGGGCCGACGCCCTGGAGAGAGCAGTTGGAGGCTCCGACACCAGGGTTCCAGGCGCCCGGATCTGCAGGTCAGTGGTGGGCTGGCAGTATTGCCTTCTTCTTTTTCTTCTATGTCCCCAAAATGTCCCCTTCTTAGTGCCACCTGTCAAGCCATCTGGTTAACAAAGAATCCCCTTCATAGAATTGGGGGGATGATCGGTAGATCTAGCAGCTCATGGTGGGATCTGGGGAGTGGTTTAGGCTAAATCAAGTCTAGATTTTTAAATATTGAGAACCTTGGACTTTCAAAGACAATGCCAGAAGGCAGCATCTAGGCCAGTGAGGTCAAGCAGTGTTTGGTGAACTCGCGAGACCTTGGGGATGTCTAGTGCCTGCTCTGGTAGACGAGAGGCACACCAGCAGGGTCCCCGCGTCTTCGTCACACCCTGTTCAGCAAAAGCAGTATGTTCAGTAGTTTCTGTGTAAACTCTCACTGTGAAAACTGGTGACCTTGCCCAACCTCTCATTCCAAGGAGAGATAAATTGGAGGTTTAGGGACAAAAGGCAGCAAGGCAAATTGGTGGCCGAGTTAGGTCTGGAACCCAGCCTTGCCATTCAGAGCCCGGGGTGTGCATTCCCATGTCCTGCTCATGAGCACCCGGGTCTGTCCGCCGGGCGGCTGGGGAGAGCATCGGGAGAGCTGGGTGCCAGGCTTCGTGACCTCGAGAGCTTACCGGCTTTTACAAGCGAATGTCTTAATGTACAACATTAAACAACAATGACACTTAATAGGCCTTCAGAGCAGGGTTACAGCAGTAAAGGAAGGGTCATTAAACTCTGAGTCACGGAACCAAAGAGAATCTGACCTAGAAAGAACCCAAGCCCCGTCATCTAACCCTGGGATTTACAGACACTGACCCTGAAGACGGGCTGTCACAGTTGGGTTTCCTTAGATGACATGACCCTGCGTGTCTGGGTTCTTTGTGTGAATAATTAATGGGACAGAACTGGATACCCTTCTATGTGGACACCAATGTCCAGCAATCTTAATACTAGAGCTCTGGATGGACAGCGGTGAGAGAAATTGAGAGGCAAGTTAAGGATGCCCTCTGCAAAGGTGAGGAAGGAGTCTGCTGCCTGTAGAGGTGACTCGTGCCACCTATAATAGTCAAGATGGGGCCAGGTGGTGGCAAAACGAGGAGCCACTTCAGATTCCAGAGCTGGGTGGGATGTGGTGAGAGAAGAGCTGAGAACAAGTCCAGGGGCCTCACAAGGGCTGGGCTGGGTTGAAGGCAGAAGAGCAGGAATGCAGTGGAGTTGCGTGGCCATCGAGAGCAGGAAGTTGTCAAAGGAGCCATCCACTGGGATTTGAGGACAAGGCAGACACACAGAGAGGTGGGAGCTAGGTTTGGTTCTCCTCAGGTTTTGAATTTGATAATGAATTTTATGAGCCCAATGCATATTCTGGAGGTGTGAGGAATGGAACTGAGAGGGAAGTGGGTGGGAGGAGGAGAAGCTGACCACCCCAAGCTTAGGAGTGTAATGTGGTGGAGTGTAATGGTGGGATACCCAAAGTGTAATGGTGGGGTGTACTGCAGACGGCTGGAGGTCAAGGTGTGGAGACATTAGATCAAGAGGTCACTGCGGTGGGAAGCCATGGACTGCAGCTCCATAGGACATGGCACAGAAGTGCTCAGGACATGGAGTGGTGACCTTTGGGATAGCTCCAGAAGGAGGGAGAGTCTGCAATGGACCTGAGACAGAGAGGACAGGTGGGAAGGGCATCACCCAATGTCAAGCCTTCCTGGGAGCCAAGAGGTCAAAGCAGAGCCCGTGGACGTGGCTCCAAGGGAGCTAACACCGTCTCGGAGAGAACAGACTCCACGTAGATGATGTGCAGGGGACAAGGAGAGGTCAGGGCAGGTATGATATATAGGGGACAAGGACAGGTCAGGGCAGCTGTGATGTGCAGGGGGACAAGGAGAGGCCAGGGCAGCTGTGATGTGCAGGTGGACATGGACAGAGCTCAGCACCACTGGTCACTGGGATTCGACCCAGAAGAGAAGTGAGGAGGTCTGAGACAGCTAGAGGTCATGTCCAGGGAGTAGTAAAGGAGGAAAGAGGGATAGAGGCCAAGGTCCAGTGCAAGGTCATCTGGGGCCTAAAGGGAAGGGAAGGCTTGGGGAGGGAGCTCAAGGTGCACTGGGAAGGGCCTCGGCACAGGGGCAGCCCAGCGGCCACCTTCTCAGCCCTACTCACCTCCTCTCAATGTAGCCAGGACCCAGGCAGAGAGGCCCAATATGGAGTCCATGGGACACCCGCTAGGGTGGGTTACAGAACCCAGAGGGTCCAGTGGGGCTGGACCACCACTGAGCTTCCGCCTGCTCTGTGAGCCGACTGACCAGGAGGGGCAGTCTTCAGCCGCACACAAGGCCCTTTGCTTAGGCCCGCCCCTTCTGGATCTCAGTGCACCTAACAGGCTGCCCACGTCTGTGGCCATCACCAAAGGTGCCTCGGCGGTGTGGCTAGGTGGGAGCATATCAGGTGGGCTGGACTCTAGGCCACACTGCTCTTGGACCACCTGGACTGGGTGTTGGTTGGTACTTTGTAACTAGAAGTGTGGTCCAGGGGCCAGCAGTGTGAACACGGCCCAGTTGCATGTTTGAAAGGCAAAGTCTTGGTCCCTGTCCCAGACCCAGGGAACCAGTCTGCAGTTTCACCAGAGCTGCAGGTGACTGGCATGTGCACTGAACAGTGGGAAGGACGGAGCTGGCACACCGAGGCCCAAGGCTGGCCATCATTGAACCGCCTCAGGCCTCACTCAGTCAGTACCCTCAGCCCCCGAAATAATGTCCATCAGAGTCCCCAGGTGCTAGGTGCTGTGTCGCTCACCTGTAATCCCAGCTGCTCAGGAGGCTGAGGTAGGAGGATGGCAGGTTCAAAGCCAGCCTTAGTGAGGCCCTAAGCAACTCAGCAAGATCCTGTCTCAAAACAAAATATAAAAAAGGACTGGAGATGTGGCTCAGTGGTTAAGTGCCCCTGAGTTAAGTCCCCAGTACCAAAAAAAAAAAAAAAATATCCCCCAGGTGATCCAGGTGGTCAAGCATGTTTGGGAGCCAATGATTTTTGACTGAACACTTTTTTTTTTAATTTAAAAAAAAAAACACTTTATATTACAAAGAAAATTTGGGGTTATTGTAGGAAAAATGTTGAAAGGTATTAAAAAGTCACTTATAATCCTATCGGTCATAGACAAGTGTTATAAAAACACTAGCTGTCTTTATTAACACGTGTGCATCTCTGTATGTGTGTGGACGGGCTGTCATGTACGTATTATTCATAACCTGCGCATTTCCCAGGTGTATTTGAAAATTTCACGTTCTAAACCTTCATCGATGATGTCATCTTCAGTGTACACATACGTCTTCTTTTCTGTAATTGCCATAATATTTTTTTTTAACCAATCGCCTGTTAGGTTCGTTGAGAACACTTAGGCTTTTCCCATCTTCATCATATTATAAAAAGTGATGCAGTGTGCATCGTTATAACTGGACATTTGGGCAATCTGTCATTTTATTTAGACCAAGGAGAACTCATGCCACCTCAGAGCTGTGGGATGACCCTAATGCCCGTGTCCAGCCGGCATCTGCACCCTTACCCTGCTCTCCTTCACGTCCATCAACCCCCAAACTCTTGCTTCAAGGCCCAGGGATCCAAAGTGACCTGTCCAAGGGGACAGGGGCAGATCCAGGACCCAAGGACACCTTGGTTTCGGCCCTACTTCTTCAGCTCCCAGGCCATGGGGCTCGAGCCCTCTGCTCCAGCCGATCCCCTCGCCTGCCGCCCCAATGCCCAGGGTAGCACCCTGCCCCTCTAGCCCTGCTCCTTCTGGTGGCCCTCCGGGCTTCTTTCCTGTGTTCTCACGTGTTTCTTCTCTCCTCCCTTCTCACTTGGCCGGGCCCACATGGGGAGAGGGAGGAAGGCTGGTCAGGGACTCCACAGACGCCCCTGGCCAACAGCAGCCCTAGCCATTCTCACGGTTGGCTGCTTTCCATGCCCGAGTCTGGGCTGGCCTCTCTGCAGGGTGGTCATTTCCTGGCGGCACTCTGGGATAGGATGACCCCCCTGAGGAAGGAGCAGGGTCCTGTGAAGCTTTACACCGGGCTTGCATAGGGACAGTCTCTTTGCAGGAGCCTCTGACTCTGAGGGCTGACCCGTTTTCCACAGCGAGCACACCAGGACAGGGGGGTGGGCTCCTTTAAGGCCCCGCAGAGCAACAGGTGTCCCTAGGAAGGGTGTGCCTAGCCCTGCAGGAAGCCCCTGCCTGGACGGTGGCTGGAGAGGCCTCCTAGCGATGCTGCTCTTCCCTCTGCGCTCGGGCTCTGGGACATGGAAGCCCTTGCTAGGTCAGGGGACAGGAATGTGGTGACCTCCAGGCTGGGAATTGGGACAGGATCTGCTTCCGGTTCATCTCCAGCTGTGGGGCTCAATCACACAGCCCCTCTCAGCCAGGAAGCGTCCTGATAAGTTATTTGGGGGACCTGTCTTCCAGTTTCCCAGAGCTAGCACCAGAGATGGGCACAAGTGAGCGCATGCAGGCGCGCGCACGCACACGTGCACATGCACAGGCACACACCCCCTCCAGGCTCACAGTCCTGCTGGCTCCTCCTGATCCCCAGTGAGGAAGACACAGAGCTCCCTGAAGCTGGATGGGCTGGGCTGGGGCGCTGCTGGATTCCAGTAGGCTGGTTAGAGCTAGGTGGCTTTTGCAGCCTGTTGCAGGTGACTCTGTGCCCTGGATGCATGCCCCTGCCTGCTGCCCCTCCCTCTCTAACAGCCCCTCTCTCTCTCCCCCAGTGAGGACCAGACACCCCTGATTACAGGATGTGCTCCCTCCCCATGGCGAAATACTACATGTAAGTCGTCCTGCTGTGGCCCTGCTTGCCCGCAGGGCTGGGCCCATATAGGGAGAGGGAGGAAAGCTGGTCAGGGACTCCACAGAAACCCGTAATCACTCTCCATCATCACATTCTGCAGTGACAACAGCTCTCTTTCCCAATTCTCCGAGATACCAGCCATTCTATGCTTCCCCCCCACCCAGAGAAACCTGTAAAGAAAACATTACCAACTCTGGGAACCAGGCGCATGGTGCCCCCGTGCCAGGCGGCTACCAAAAGGCAGAGCCTGGGGTGGAGTTCATGTTACCTGTGTGGCCACACCGGCCTCTCTGAAAGCTGAGGCAACCCTGAATCCCAGTGACACTGTCTTCCTGGTGTTGTCTGTGGCCTTGGCCCTGAGCCCAGGCCCCCAACCCTGACCTGCATTTAGCCTCATTTGCATCCTCGGTTACTGTTCTCTGGTCTCCAAGTGGGGTGCTGCCGGCTGTCCAGGTGTGAGGGAGAACGTCCACGGGCAAGCCCAAGATGGTCCAGATCTGTTTTCATATACAAGTAAAACTGCTTTAAACATACAGCCAGTAGCTGAAGGTATTATATCGGGCTATTACTGAGGGAGAGAGGGCTTGGAGGCAGTGGCATGGGTCCAGAGACTCTGCCCTCAAACCTGTCGAGAGCTCCCCAGGCTCTGGGAGCAGCTGATGGGCATCTTGGAAACCAGCCGGGCAACCAAGCTGCCTGCGTGACTCTGCTGTTCCACCCGCTCACCTGGGTTTCTCCCCAGCCTGCCCGGCACGTCCCTGCCCTCCCAGGCTGGTCATTAGGACCACAGCCACCCCCAGATGACTGCAATCTGGCTCTGCCTGGGCTTTCTGCTGACCTGTATTTGGTCCACCTGGAGCACACCAGGCCCTGGCTCCCAGGGGCTGGATGGACACCTACCTAGCACAGCATATTTTAATTTTTGTTTTCCAATTTGCAGATTTTCTCCTACAGAAAGTCTTTAAAATATCTGAAGAAGCAAATCATGCTTCATTATCCACTTGATTAAATAAAATAAACCTTTTATTAAATAAAATAAACATTGATTAAAAATTGGAGCAAGCTGGGAAAATTTGGGATAAGGCTCACTGTATCTCTGAGACACCTGAGCCTCGTGAGAGAACTTTCTCTACCCCTCCACGAGAAGGCTGGCTCCCCTCACTCTTCCAAGCCTCTGGAAACCAGGAGCCCAGGGGAGGAGGTCTTCTCTGGCTTCATTAAGACAGAGCGGTCTTGACCTGCTCTGGTGGAGAAGCAAGCATCCCTGCTCTCAGTGCGGCGGGTTAGAGGAAAGGCTTGGGGTCTCAGTGGTGCCTGAATGCAACAGGCCCTCAGCACTGCCATCCTGTTCCAGAATCAAGGATGCGGATCAGAAGGCGCTGTACACTAGAGACGGCCAGCTGCTGGTGGGCGACCCCGACACCGACGACTGCAGCGCTGGTGAGCTTCCCACGGCCTCCATCCGGGCCCTGAGCCACGCTCCGCTCAGCGCAGCCCCCACTTCTCTCTGTTTCTGTCCCCACCAGAGGGGCAGCAGCTGTCCCCTGACAGAAAGAGGCAGGGGGCAGCTTTGGCCCAAAAGGACCCTGCAGAGTCCTGCTGGCCCTGCAGCCCAGGTGTGGCCAGGCCTGCAGGGCTTCTGCTCCCTGAGACCCTGAACCTGGGCTGCCCTCATCTCCCGTCTCTGTCCTCTTCCCAGAGAAGATCTGCGTACTTCCTAACAGAGACCTGGACCGGGCCAAGGTCCCCATCCTCCTGGGGCTCCAGGGAGGGAGCCGCTGCCTGGCATGTGTACAGACAGAAGAGGGACCTTCCCTGCAGCTGGAGGTGAGACCCCGCCCCTCTCTGGGGGCGGTGTGGACCCTGCCTGGCCCCGAGGTGCTCTGCACCCACTTGTGGATTCTTGGTCAGGGCCATGGTCCCCCTTCCTCAGGGCCCCGTCCACCTTTCTCAGGGCCGCCGTCCCTCTTCCTCAGACTTCCACCCTCCCCCTTGTGCCCAGAACTAAGAGCCTTGCCTATGGGAATCTGCACAAGGCACGTCCCTTTTGGTAGAGCCCCAGAGGCCTGTAGGGCCACACCCCCATCAGCACCCTGGTCCTGCAGTGGCCACCTTGCCCCCGCAGGACGTGAACATCGAGGACTTGTACAAGGGAGGCGAACGGGCCATGCGCTTCACCTTCTTCCAGAGCAGCCTGGGCTCCGCCTTCAGATTGGAGGCAGCCGCCTGCCCTGGCTGGTTCCTCTGCGGCCCGGAGGAGCCCCAGCAGCCCGTGAGGCTTGCCCAGGAGAGCGAGCCCTCAGCCCGCACTGAGTTCTACTTTGAACAGAGTCGGTAGGGAGGCAGGAGGCGGAGTCCAGCCTGTGCCCCCAAACCAAGCTCATCCCACTTGTGGTGGGCAGAATAGTGGCCCACCAAGAACATCCCCATCTTCAGCCCCAGAATCTCAATGTGTACCCTTAGCAAGTGTGAAGGCACTTAGCAAGTGTGCCTCGGTTAAGCATCCTGAGCTCTCTGGTGGGCCTGTGGTCACCACAGGGGACACATGAGATGGAGGCAGGAGGGTAAGGGGCAGAGGGGGATTGGAGGATGTCATGCTGCTGGGTTTGAGGATGGAGAAGGGAGCCACGTGCCACCCAAGCAGGTGTTTCTGGTGGCTGGAAAAGGCAAGGGAAGAGATCCTCCTCAGAGTCCCCAGAAGTCCCTGACACCCTTTCAGACTTCTGACCTCCAAAACATGAAAAAGAATAAACTTGTGTTGTTTTAAGCCACGGAGTTTGTGGTAACTGGCTAGTGTGACCACAGGAGATGACCACGGGGCCTCAGTCTGTCCTGTGCACAGTGTTCAGTGCAGGGGCTGTGGGGCACATGGAGATTTTTCTTGGAAGGCCACCACAGCTCCCGGATGCATTGAGTGTAAGCTCCCAGGGGGGCCCCCTGAGTGGTGGTGACCTGGCATACTGGGGAATGCTGAGTGTAAGCTCCCAGGGGGGCCCCTGAGTGGCGGTGACCTGGCATACTGGGGAATGCTGGGCTGGAGCCTGGCTGACAGCTTGCACTGGAACTGATGTGGTCCTCAGAGCGTGATCCTCCTCCGTTTCGTGGAGGGCTGTGGCTGGGCTCAGGCTGGAGCAGGGAGTCTGTGCTTCTGTGTCCGACAGGTGGGCTTCTGGTGTTGCTCCTCCTGCGCACAACCCTTCAGCACCCTCCTGGACGCTCGGGAGTCTCGCCGTTGTCAGAACCTGTAGCAGCAGTGAGGCTTCTTCCTCGGAGTGACCCAGCTAAGCAAGTATTCTCGCTGCACTTGACCACGAGGACATTGAGAGAGTGACATGGCTAGCTGAAGGTCTGGTAGGCTTCCATGTTGAAGGCCAAGCTCAGACCTGGCCCACCTGAGTCCAGTGCTGTTCCACAAATCTGCATTCCACTCTAGGAGCTGAGGACCGAATGGCCAACAAAGTCTTTCCCCCTGGAGCTTGTCCTCGAGAGGCCGAAACACGGACAAGCAAATAAAATGGACAAGAAAGAGAAAAAGCAAACAGATGAGGCAGCTCACGCCTGGACTTACAGGCCCCTGGGATTCAGTGCCGAGTCCCTCAGGGAGGGCAGCTCCGGGCCTGGACTCTGGTGAGGCTGAAGGACAGGAAGAAGCTGGGACTCGGAATGACCCAGGCAGAGGAATAGCAACCACTGTGGCCCTGAGACATAAGGCTGGGGGTGGGGAGGGGCAGGAAGGGACACTGGGGAGGTGAGCAGGACCAGCAGGTGTGGGCCAGAGAGGCCTTGAGGCCGAAGGGCGTCCATACACTGGGTGCAAAGGGGCGCTCTGGGAAGGTTTTCAGCAGAGGAGGGACATGATGGCCTTCACTTCACCTGTGTCTGCGACAGCAGCCGGTCTGCAGAAGGTGCTGAGTAAGCGCACAGTCTCTAACAAGTGAGGGGATCTCTGTAGGTTCTGGGAGGATGTCCATGGGCAGTGTAAGGAGGACTCCAGAAGAAAAGTGAGGGGAAGCCCTTGGCACAGAGCTAGAGTCACCAGGGAGGGCTGTGCCTTCAATCTGGGCCTCAGGGAAAAAGTGGTCCAGACAGAGAATGAGGTGACGGGCATTCTAGGCAGAAAGAGCCACTCAGGAAAGTGGGACTGGGGACAGCCCGTGCATCTGGGGCACCATGAGTGGGGCCTCAGTTGGAGTGCCTGGGTTGATTGCGAAGGCTTGATTGGTTGTGCCTGCCTGGCCACAGGGTGCACCTGGGAACCTGGAGGAGTCATTCAGGAACCTCAAGCAGGACTGGGATTCTAAGCTTGGGCCCCCATGGGCAGTGCTGGACTCACCCAGATGCCAACAGGGCCTCAGGTCTCCACCCCCGGCCTGACCTGCCTTCTGTCTGGTTCTGTGGTCAGCCTGACCCCTGATTCATATTCCCATGGCCAGCTCATCTCCTTTACTCATGGATTAAAAGATAAACTGAGGCATACTTAGATTTTTTTTTTTTCTTTTTGGTACTGGGATTGAACCCAGGGGTGCTTAACCACTGAGCCACATCCCCAGCCTGTTTGATTTTTTGTTTTGAGACAGGGTCTCGCTCAGTTGCTTAGGGCCTCACTAAATTGCTGAGGCTGGCCTCAAACTTGCAATCCTCCTGCCTTAGCCTCCCGAGTCTCTGGGATTGCAGACATGAACTCATACCCAGCAAGAGTTTATTTGAGCGGACTGTGATTTTTGTATTAAAAGAACACAAGCTGCTGCTCAGGGCTCCTCCAGGTGGGCGTGTGGGGGCCGATTTTGTGAGGCATGCCTGAAGCAGGAGAAGAGGAGCATGGCTGGCTGAAGTGGGAAGTCCTCAGTTGGGTGTTGCCTGGGGGTTTCTAAATGGCAAAGTCTCTACTTAGAGGGTGGCGTGGCTCTGGTGGGGTTAGCGCACTTCATTTTCAAACGCTGTGACCATTCACTCTGAGCTGCACTTCAGTTTTCTGGAGTAGGAACCCAAGTTCTGGGCTATTTCCCCCCCAAAGCCTCCCAGTTACTTGCCTTAATACCTGGTGTTTCTCTCTCTCTCTCTCTCTCTCTCTCCCCCCCCCCCCCCGTGGTGGTGCAGGGGATGGAACCCAGGGCCTCACGAATGCTAGGCAAGAGCTCTATCACTGAGCTACATCCCAGCCCGGGTCCCTCATTTTTGCTGGCTCTCCTCTTGTGACCTATGCATACTCTGATAGAAATAATGACAAGTTATTCGGGCTCCAGAGATTGAAAAGTAGGAAATGGAGGCCGCTCCTGCCAGGTGCAGTTCACAGGTGCCAAGGATATTCCCCCTCCCATGTCCCAAGGCTTGTCTCCTGAATTCCTTGTCCTCCCTGGAGACCGCCCCAAAGTCTTCCCTCAGCAGCCAGGCCATGAGAGCTAAAATTAAGTAACTCTGCGGGAGAGGCCCACGTCGGCTCTTATCCAGTACTTACATCTCAGAGTGAACTGGTAGTTCAGGCGACAGGGTCAACAGGTAATTGGCGCACAGTGTCGCAACCTTTCAATCAGGCAGCACTGGGAGGCTCAGGGGTGGGGAGGTGTCTGCACGTGCCCATGTGTGTATGGGGTGCGTTTATGTAGCATGGACACATGTCTGGGTCTGCATGTGTGTGTGCTGGGTGCAGATGCGTGACCAGGTGTGCGCATGGTGCATGTCCACTGTAGGCTCCAGAGGCAGGAGCAGTTGGTTAAGAGGCCCCTCCTCTTTATCCAGAAGGCTCTGGATCAACCTTACACAGGAGAGCACTGCATTCAGGGTCCACTAGAACCTGTGTGTCCTAAATCATTCCAACCAAGACTCAGAATCTAGTCCCACTTCCCTTTGACCCAATTTTTCATCTCAGGATTTATGAACAACTGCTCTAAAAGCCACACACAAAAAAACCCTGCAGCACACACACAACACATGTAAGTTCCAGGAAGTCGACCTAGGTTTAGGGAGGAAAAATAAAACTGAAGAAAAGCAAAGGAAACTGTAATGGACATCACTGTTCCTAGAAAATTCTCTGAAATATACTATCAGTCCGTAAATGAACTTGACAGGTGAGTGCATTCAGCATAAACCGAAGTTAACATCTTGGATAGAAGTATTTACATTCAGTTTTTATTTATTTGTGAATCTACAATTTTATTTCACATGTACATGGCGACAAGGGCATGCTACCATTCTACCAAAGCATGCTCCACCCCACCCCAAATGACAACCTCCAATTGAGACCCACAGCCTGCAGTGCAGCCTTTGGGCTGCAGGGGGCGGCAGAGATCAGGCTCTGCGTTTGCCTTGCAGGCCTGGGAGCTCTCTGAGCCCCTGAAGACCCACACTTCCTACCCGGCAGCCCCTGTGCCCCAAAAGTCTGTCTCACAATGGATTCATCCTTCTGAAACAGAGAGGGAGTCAGACCTGGATCCTATGAAGACCCAGAACACATTTCTCTCTTGTGCAAAGTTGTTCCAGAGCCTCTTGGAATAAAGAGGAGGGGTCCCAATCAACTCTGCCTGCCTCTGGAGCCCATATCAAGTCTCCTAGCACCCCCTTAACAAGAGGGACTTGGCCCTGCCCCCTGAGAGTGCCAGGCCCGGTGGGAAGTTAGACACTGAGCACACACTCACATTGGGGTTTCTTGCATAATGTGAAGGAGCAGGGCATGCATTCCTGGCCCTCTTACCCTGAAACAGAGGCTGCAGGGAACAATCCTCCCGCACCCTCCAGCTCCTGGGACACCCTTACCCAGGCTCTGCGTTAAGGCAGAGTGTCTTCTATGGGATGTTTTTCTGAGGGTCCACAGCCAAATCATGGTCCTAGCACTGATCACATGATCTCGTCTACATAGAGGACCACGGATTCAGCATCCCTTAGCTAAGTATTTTCCAAACTGGTTCCTGGGAACACTTTTTAAAGTGAATGCTCATAGGTTTATAGGAAGAGTGGATTATCTCTGACCTCTCCTGTGTGTCTCTGCCTGTTTGTTCTCTCTGCTTCAGCCACACTGGTCTCTCCCAGCTCTCCAAAGACAGACACTCCAACTCCAGCACCATGCAACCCCAGGGCATTTGAACCCACTCTCTGTTAGGAGGCTTGTTCCCCAATGACCTGCATGGCTCATTTCCTCAAGGAGGCCTGCCCTGGATACTTTATTTAAAATCACTGTATGCACCCCCATGAATCCTAGCACTCCTATGTCACCATGGTACCATTACATCTGACATACACTGTGATTCATTTTTTACTTATTGTACTTTTTTCCTTCTGTGTCTGCTAGAACACAAGATCCACAGGCAGAGGCTCTGGTCTGCTTTGTGCATTTGTATTTGACTGGCAGGTGCAAGTGTTTGTGCCCTGTGCCGGGGGCTCTCAGTAACACTGCTAAGTAACAAAGGGACAAATTCACAGCAGGGGTGGAGAACTCTTGTTTGATGGGTTGTCATGGATACCAGTCCCAGGAAGCCCAAGTAGAATTCCAGCGTGGAGCTGTGCTGGGTCACGTGTCCTGAGTCATCAGGAAGGACTGTGGCTGCAGGTGGGAGTCGTGGAGAAAGGGCCTACCTGGTGTCTCAGTTAGCTATTGGTGTGTAACAAACCGACCCAAACTTAGTGATAGAGCAGCAACGACTTGTCATTCCTCACTATTCTGTGGACCTGCTGGGTGGGTCCTCTGCTGGGCTGCTGGGGCTCACCCACATTCAGTGGGAGGTCAGCTGGGCTAGAGGGTCCAAGGTGGACCCTCCCACAGGACTGGCAGTTATGCTATTGGTAGGGGACCTTGG